ACTGTAAGAGATTGTTGATGCATAGGGGACAACAACATGGGGCATTACACAATTTGGATTGGTAGCATTGATCAATTATTTTGGTCTCTAATGTGAGTGGGAATGTTTTTTTATCAATTATGCATTATATCTAGGACCTGGTTTTTATGTGTCCCCCGACTCATACTATTTTCATGCAGGCTCCCTTGAACACTCATTATTTATATCGATCTTGGATCCAAATTTGTAGTGATCCATGATCTATATCAGTGTAGGAAAAATCGAACTGGAACGGTTAACTAGACGTGGGGATGGAAGCTGTTCAACCGGCCTAACCAAGGAGTCTCGAGTAGTAAAAAAAATGTTAAAAATAAAAAAATACAAAAAAAATCTAATAAAATACGAAAAGTATATTTAAAACTTGATTAAATAAAGCACATCCAAAAGAAGTTGAAAATTAATGGATTTTAAAGAATCAATTTGTGCCAAGGGTATTTTTAAAATTTTCTAAAAGGTGGAAAAATGAAACAATTTCCAAATTTTGCCAAAATGATAAAACATTAAAAATACATTGAAAAATCCCTAATTTTTTTGGGATTACACACACACACAGATATATATATATATGGGGAGTGATTTCATGCAACGGTTGTATAGTAGTATAATGCAACCGTCTTCAAAAACCATGTTAGAGACGTTTGTTTGAAACAAATTTTTAAATGTACACTCTTTTCATTCTGAAGAACAATCACAAAGAAGAAAATTTTGAAAAAATGCTCTAGAAAGTTTTCATTCTAGCCTAATGAATATAAGTCGTCCATTTTATTGAGATGGTTAGATATAGGCCTTAGAAGGATTTTTTTATTTCCAAAATTTGTCTATAGTGTTATCATCATTAGATTAATAATGCTTAAAAAGAAAAAAGCGATTTTGAATTTGTTAAGGCCTAGATCTTGAAAGTCACCAAATAGATGGTCGAGATTCATTGTTGGATGAGTATTAAGTTTGGGTGTAAATTGAAATTTGTTTTCGTAGAATTGATTATGAGGATGGGGATAATGTGTGTGCAAAATTATGAGATGAAGATAATGTGTGTGCAAAATTTGGGGTTGTACAATTACCAAAAATATGGTTTTCTAGAGTTGTGTTTGCATTACACTACTATACAACCGTTGCATTTGATCATTTCCATATATATATATATATATATATGGCCGATTCACCAAAACCGATCGAAATCGGAACCGCCAATGGCCAGTTTCAATCTAACTAGGTCTAGCCAGGCAGTTAGAATTTGAACTGCCCCATTTTTCCTATACCGGTCTACATTATGATGATCATGAATATAAAAAAACAAAATATAAGAAATAAACGTTTGTGATTGTGCGGGCAAGTGAGTCACAAAACACTTTTTCTTATGTTTATGCTAGTCGGGAGTTATTCCCATCAATTATTGAGGTTGATTATGCAAATTGGGAGTTTTCAACAATTATGCTCGTCACTTGTTCAAATTGGGACCTCCCATTGGTTATGGTGGCCAATTATGGGATATGGAATTTGCTTCAACAAGTTACACCAATCAGTCATGCCAGATCAATTATGCTAGTTGAGTCCTAGGGTTTATGAGGAATTGTATTACACATGACCAAGTTATATGGCTTGAATTGAAATGAGAAATTGTATTACCAAGGTTTGGAATTTATGATGAATCGTATTACCGTTATATTTGTGTTACAATTAATTTAGCAATTAAGAACATTTAATTAGAGATGGTGTGAATTAGTTATCACAAGGGAAAATTTCGTACAGAACCCTAATTCTTCATATTATTTTATGGTAGACCTTATTTTCTTTTTTCTTTCAAGCGGCATAAAGAAATCTCTAAAGATTTTACTCTACCCCCTCATCTCTTATCTCCTTCTTTTATTTACTTTTGATCATAAAAATTAGCCCCAATAAATATTTTTATACCATTTTATCCCATAACTTTTTTAACTCTCTTTTTCCCTTTTTACACATTAAAACAAAATTTGGGTTAAAAAAATTTATTGACGCTAATTTTTATGATCAAAAGTCCATAAAAGAAAGAGATAAACAGAATGAGGGTCTGCCATGAAATAATACAACAAATTAGAGTTCCATACGAAATTTTCCTTCATCATATCTCTATGTTTACTAGGGCATGCATTATAATGGATGGGCTATGATCAAAATAAAAAAGTTTACCAAAAATAAAAAAATTCAACTTCAATATAATGCACAACTTCAACCTTTTTTTTTGCATGTGAACCATCGATCTTGTTTTGTAGTCCTATGCTTGGTTATGATTTTAAAATCTAACCATTATTCAACAAATATTAGCCTTTCATTAATTAATTGTTAACATATAGTTTAAAACTAATTAATTGCTAGAAGGATCCGGTTTCTATGCGGCCAAGCCCGCATATGTAGAAATACGGGCCTATTAATAAATCTATTTTTGAGATGGATTTTTGGACTTAATTTTTAAGGACATGTAATCTCTAACATGCAGATCATGAATATGAAAAAATAAGTAAATGTTAAAAACTAGAAATAATAATTCTAGTAAGAAATCATTTGGATTCTTAGTTTCCATTGTTTTTAGATGGAACACCTACTTCCACACTTTTTGGACTGTATATGTAGTCATGTGGTCCATCCCGAATGAAACAATTTTCCTTTCAGGAATCCTAGTTTCAATCAAACCAGAGACACCGAAGAAACTATACTAACTAAAATTCCACAAGTTACAAAAGAAGGTGTTTTTTTTTTTGACAATATGCTGAAGTTTTTATTGATAAATTGTTGCAAGAGCATCAAATTATAATGCTGAAATTACCAAAAATGGTGTTTGCCACCTTCAGATATCCGAAAGTCACAAATCGAAGAGCTCATTGTCAAACCTATTGTAAAGTAAATACCTTAAGAGCCCAAATACTCTTAGAAACTAGTTTGGATCTCCAACAGTAAATGTAAACAATAGATCTAGCTGACACACTAGGATGTGTTTGTCAAGCAGCATAACAGTTACATCTCCACAGTTCATTATTGAGGACAATGATGAGAGTAGTTACAGTATACAAGTCCCTTATAACATACGGTATAGTCCCTAAAAAAATAAAAATAAATAAATAAAAAATATTTTGGCACAGCTAAATTAAGGCTGGCGAACCCCTTTACAATTAGAATACCGTGGAGATCCACAATGATTCTTATTACTTTACTACAATATATATCTTTATACGCCATAAGACATGCTGCTCCTGCAGGAGCAAACTGTCCATTTGCTCCCCCGGCTTAATTTCAAGTTAAAAAACACCTTTTAAGAGGGCAAAACCTAAGTGTTGAAGACCCAAAAATCTATTTTTTATTTGAAAATGATCATTAAATAATTATTATTAGGATCCCAAAAAACCAAATGAAAAAAGAAAAACTCCCAAAATATAGTTTTCGCCCAAGGGAATTAATGTACGGTATGATCTCCTAGGAGCATGTTATGCGTACTAATTATTTATTCAACAAATTATTCGTCCTTTTCTTCTCTCCAAATTGTACTATATTTACCATTTCCTTTTAATTTGTTGAGTAGGTCTGCTATTAATTATAAAGGGGTGTGGTTTGTAGTGAGCTGAAGCTCTCAACGATCAAAGGAAAGCGCACATCCAAATAATGTTTGAGAAATATGGTTTCAGTATTAAAAATATTTATAATAGTTTTAAAATATATTTTTGTTTTTAACTATAAAATTTAACGTTTAAAAAATAGTTTAGATCTAAAGCTTAAAAAATAGTTTAGATCTAGGAGATGTATGAAAACTTGAAAATCTTTAAAATTTACGATCCAAAACTACATTTTCCAAACTTGAAAATCTATTTTTTTCTCATATCCATATATCATGAGATGATCAACTTGAGGATAATTTTTTTTTTTGGGATAATTCAATGGGGATGACGAGTCCTTGAAATTGTTAGTAGCTTTCAAATGCGTTAGATGAGAATGAAAGCCTAGACTTCAGCTGGGGCACAAGGGGTGCTATCACCACGACCAAAACCCCATTATCAATCAATTTGAGGATATTCAAGCATCAAAACATCTTCTTCTGATCAAAACATCTGCTTCCGTGAAATTTTTGAGATGGGCTCTAATTTGATTGGTTAGAGCCTCGGCTTTATATAAACTTTCGGAAAAGTTTATAAAGTTTGCAATCTTAAAATTTAGAATTATAGGTGCACCTTAAAAATCCATTGAAGAATGTTGTTTCAATGTTGAAAAACCCTCTAATTGATCATCTCGACATCATGATGTATGAATATAAATAATAAAAATATTATGAGTCCTAGAAATAGTGCATCTTGCAACACACTATCTAGACTGTCCATTTTCAAGATTTTTATATATTTATAGATTTTATTGATTTTAACTATTTTTGGATTTTAAAATTTTATAATTAGATATAAAAATAGATTTTCAAATAATCTTAAGAATATTCCACATCGAAATTACACGTTATAATAAAATTTGGAGGAACGCACCAAAATTACATGTTATAATAAAATATGGAGGTACTCGTTAATTGGATTGTTTAAGGTTGCAACCTTATAGAAACTACACCCATAAACTTTTTCTTTTTTAGGTTTAATTTGTTGTGTAAGTTTGCTAATAACTATAAGAGAAATGATCCTATAGGACTTCCCGACCGAACATTTTAAACACCCCAACCTGAAAACTCCGTACATTATTCGCTGTATAGGACTTCAAAAGATCACTATTAAATTTGATATGTAATTATAAAAAAATGAAGTCCCACACCCACAAAATTACTTTTCTAAAAATCTAGAACAAATTTAATAGCCATCCTTTTTGGGTCCTACGCACGCCTGCATATTCATTACTGTAATTTATAAAATTACTAAGGATTTTTACAATGGATTAATTAGGTTGCCGTCTTACTGATGTGTTTAGTAACAGAGGGTTTAAAGTCCGCTCTTCTCCAACCGAAATTTCCTCTCTTCGCTCTGCTGCCGCCAGCGTTTTCGCCCATTTTTCCCCCCCCTCTCTCTCTCTCTCTCTCTCTCTCTCTCTCTCTCTCTCTCTCGTCGTCGTCGTACGTACGTACGTACGTACGTACGACGTACGTACGTACGTACGTACCGTACGTACCGTACGTACGTACGTACCGTACGTACCG